TTTCTCTCTCTCTCTCTCTCTCTCTCTCTCTCTCTTTTTCTCTAGGTAAGTAAAATTATTGTTGTTCAAATGATGGTACCGTAGCTCCAGGAGACCTCGATCGCACTTTTACTACCCAACATAAGAAATAACAACAATTTCTCCAAAGCGAGCCGATGGTTCCTGTTGTAGTTGACAGCTGTCGTCTGCAGCGAGCTCCGAGTCGAAGAAAATCGGACTGGCTTCCGCTTGATAAAGCGGCGAGATAAGACGGGAGGGGTTCGTTCGGAATATCTCGCGACTAATATAATCACCATGAAACATGCCAACAATTCCATTGTTCGCGTGATTTCAACAAATTTCAAAGCACTTCGATTCGCATTAACGTGTAAATTGTATTAAAAAGTTTGAAAAAAAAAATTGTGATTATGAAAATAAATAGATAAAATGTAGAAAGATACAAAAATCAACATTATTTCTATCTTTAACTTTATTTTCTTTTCTCTGACTTTTCTCGATGAAAATTTAAGTGGAGGCTGGTCCACGCCAAAATGACGTAAAAGAGTCGTCGACTCGCCGCGAGATATTCTCCTCTATGAGAAACATGCACGTTTGGCTTTTGCTGCGCAATTGGGATTGAAGTGACACGTTCTCTCTGCACTAGTTAACGTCAAAATCTCACGAGTCAATCGAATCAATCTTCTCAATGTCTATCTCTGTCTGTTTTTCTTCGCATTCTTTTTTTTTTTTCTTATCTTTATCTCTTCATCTTATATTTGTTTCTCTCTGTTACCTTTCACACTCCTCTCTAAATTATTTCTTTTTTTTCTTTTTTTTTCCCCCTATCTACCCTATCCTCATTGACTCGTGAAGAAACAAATCAATCAGCCTTAGGCTAGCCAATTTTTTCTGACCAACTCTTTTTTTTCTTCTCTCTCTCTCTCTTTCTCTATGTCTCTTTTCTTTCTCTCTCTCTTTCTGTCTTTCTTCTTTCTGCCATACATCTTTGTCTGGAAACTCTCTGATATCTGACTCGTTGTATATTTGCTTACTGCAGGCGACGGCTGTTTCTACATCGGCATGGGAGGTAAAAGCGCGAAACCCAAGATTCCCTCCTATGAGCCCTACCAGTGCTGTCCTGCCAAAGTCGCCCACGGCACCAAGGTCGCCAAGGCCACGAAAATCAGTCCGGCGGCCAAGGACAAGGGCAAAGCTCACGAGAGGTCCGAAAAGCTGGGGCTGCCCGGCCTGAAGCCGATTAACAAACTCACCGCGAAGGAAAGCAGAAAAATGGCGACGGTTAGCAAATCAAGTGAGCAGAAGGCCAAGAAAGGATTCTTCGGAAGCGGTAAATATCTCAACTGGCTGTGATTATCGCGGGATTAAATCACTGCCCCCATGCACGGCCAGGATACCAGTTAAAGTATACCTCAAGACGAATACCTCGTGGAAGATCTATTCGAGCAAGGATGGTAACGTTGAAGAATAATTAAACGAGGAGGAATTGAAAAAGAGAAACGCGTATTTTAGTGTGCAGAGATGAAAAGATGACGGAAAGGATGTAGGTCTGATTGATGAGGCGTAACATAAATACACGATCTCATTTTCTTTTAGTCGATCATCAAACATAGGATTTTTGTTATTGTATTATACGTGTTGTGCATCGCAAAGAGATCATTTAAGTGTTTTCATCATTTCATTAACATCCGTAAAATTTAGAATTTTAACATAAAATATGACGACGAGATTATCACGCAACTTGATCGAGCAAAAGTGAAGTATCGAAATGTTTAAATTATGGATTTCCAATCGGTAGATTGCAAAATAATTCTCCAAAGGAGTTGCAAAATTATTTTTGAAAGGTTTCTTCTAAAATCTTCTTTTTTTTATTTCAATACAGTTGTTATATCTACATAAAAAGTAAAAAAGATTTATGGCCTATCGTAGCAAAAAGATTCATCAAATATTTAACGACACGTACCAAATATTTTATATCTGTTATAACAGATTTTTTTTCTCTAATTTTCATTTCATAATCCGCGTATATGAAATATAAAATTTATCAAAAGAAAAAGGGGATTATTTATATTACTTATTCATTGTAAAAATGGAGTCTCAACAAAAGACAATAGTAATTTTGCAACCAATTAGATCAAAATATCATTTTCGTTCGATCAATTTGACTTGGTCACCTTTTTATCTCTGCCCGATAATCAAGTATCATGAACGTTATAAATGAAAATCAATGTCCACGTGTGGGCAGTGATTTGATCGGCAATGTAGGGAGGACGTAGTTAGAGAAATTAGAAAAACGAAGTGACTGGGCTGAAGACGGGGGCTGGAAAGAAAGGTTAAGTGAGAAAAGGGCCGGCTGACGAAACGTCTTCGTATCTCGGATGCAGGTGTGTCGCGCGGTCCATGAAGAGAATCACGAGCCGCAAGTTCTGGACGAGCAAGACGATCCAAGAAACGTGCCTAGGAAAGCCGGTGGGCTGGCTCCTCGGATTCCTCGAATCGTCGGGATAACAATTCCGCGAGAATCTCTAGTCTTCTAACACATGTTCGATCGGCCATCTTGTCAAATATTCTAGGGCGTCCGCGTACCGGATATACAATAGATACGTAACTATTAAAACGATTCAACCGCGACGGAGCTATAATTCTTCCTTTAATTGGATTTAATTTTTTTTCCTTTAACGAGTTTTAATTTAAAAATGAATTAATTAAATTAAAGAGGATTATTAGATTAGCTTTTATAGCTCCGTCACATGATGTGTTTATCAGATCCTTTCCTATCTCCTGTTACATTGTGTATGTCTGTCCAACAACCTTGTATTCGTCGATCGAAAATTCGTGATAATTAAAAACAAAAAGGTTGCTTACGACTCGACTCGCAAAACTATACCATAGGCGACTCCGAAGAGACAAAAATTAAAAAAAAAAAAGCAATAAAATATATATACATATATGCATACACGTATAATCGTGGGAACCAAGAATGTAAATTTGATTTAGAATGAAAATGAAACGAAAAATAATAATAATAATAATAATAATAAAAATTCCGCGATGAGAAAGGATCGTGAGGGATACAGATTTTTCTACGTCTCACTGAGAGTTGGGTCGGGGTTGTGGCCTGTTGCAGTTGTGGCCGGGCTTCCGTACATCATGAAAGTCTAAAGAACGAGGAGAAGGAAGCGCGAGGTGGAGGACGGAATGGATCAGAGTCAAAGAAAGAGAGAAAACCGATGTGTCTAAGGCAAGAAGATGATAATGAGGAAGGAGAATCAAGTAGAAGGGAGCAGGAATCGTCCAGATTCATCGTCTATCGATTTTAGATAGACTGACGAAGAAGAGAGAGGAAGAGAAAGAGTTGAAGAAGAGAAGATCGTAAAAGAAAAAAAAAAAAAAAAGAGAGAGAAAAATTTCGTTCTTTCTTTCTGGAACAAACTTGTTATCGTCACTTTTTGATTCGTCATCGAAACATCTCGAAACGTTATCATCATCGATGTCATCATTTATCTTCTCCATCGTTGTTCATCGTTGTCACGAATAAATATTTCAAATCTCATCGAGAATTCATGATCGACATCGATCATAGAAGAATCATCCGTCTTGCATCCCTCATTTTTAACACTTTCTGTAATCCCAAAAGGGCCATATTTATTTATTTCTCATACACAAGTGTACTTACCCGAACCATTCGTTGCAAAACAAATCGTTCTTCTCGAAACTTTCGTGAGAAAGGAAAAAAAAAAAAAAAATACTGCAAATAGACCAGCGAATCTAAGTATCATCATTACGCGTCACGTTTTGATTCATAATAAGTATTGTTAAAATCATTAAAAAGAAAAGTGAACAACAAACTGCACACTTCTTTTCATTTTCGAGAAACATAAGACTTGCTCACTCTACTGAACGATTTTTACTAATACTTAAAAAAAGAAAAATCAGAAAAAAAAAGAAATAATAAATCCACATGCATTTCTCGTGCAAAGAGAAGCCATTACATGCGCGTGAATCGAAATGAATGCAATCGATCAAAGATGGCAGCCGCAAACAGTCCATTTTGATCATCCTGCCAATTAATTAATTTTGCGTATCGTTGTTTTATTGTTAATCGTCGCGACGACGAGATACCGCTATTCCATTTGCATTTTTGGTCGGTAACGTTCACGATAGAACGGGGTAGGACTCTAAGTATTTCTTTTTTTTTTTTTTCTATTTCGTTACGAGACTTTCGTCGATGAAGAAATATTTTGTTCCGAACGTTCCGTAGTGTTCTACCTAGATTTCGCGGTATAGGTTGTAGCGACGTACACATTATTACGTCGAATCAATTATTTTTTCACACTCGATCGTTGGTTTTAATCCTGGAACGCCTCGTCGATCAAACGATATATTATATTTGATCGCACGATCCACCATCCTCGTAATTCAATTCCAGGGTTGAAACAGGCTCTTAATTAATTACAATTGCTTAATTAGAATCTGCAGATCTCTCAAGAGTATGTTTATGTCAAGTAGAATGCGAGCGGCATAGCAAATTTGGTAGCCGTATGGCGCGATCCTGAATAAACGACTGCTACATTTTCTTGATCTCATTCCAGAGACTCGAGGATTAATTATTTATCTCGTTTCAGATTCTGCGAAATAGGCAGAATTCTTTCTGCCAATTTAGTGAATTATTTCGTTATTTCTATCTTTTGAATCGTATCGAATCCTTTCGTATCTCTCCACCATTTTCTTTCCTTCCTTTCCCCTTGTATGATAGTTTTACACTTGTATAATAATTTACACACACGCGCGCGACATCTCTCGACTTTGTACATACGTGTCTTTGATTCTATGATGATCTATCATTTCTTCGGATCAATTTCTTCGGATGAAACATATACGATATATCGATCGCACTATTCCCTTTTTTCCTACTTACTTATTTCCTGATCGTGGCTGCGACATAAACATACCCTCTTTTGAAATTTCTCAACAATAAAACGTCGAGGAACACGTGCGTTTCTTGTTACGCCAGCTATTACTAATCGCTTAATCGCTTATTGGGCCGCACAAGCGAGCACTAAACAAAAATCAAAATCAAAAAAAAAAAAAAAAGAATAAACGGTTAATGAAGAATCTCCCCCTATAAAAAAAAAAAGATATGGAATACATCGAGAATTCTTGTTCTTTCTTCTCCCTGGATAAAAGCCAGGCAGAGGAAAATCGGGTGGAAAACGCTCACCTTATTTATTTATTTATTTATTTATTTATTTATACAGTTATCTTATTATTTGTTGATTTCTGTACTCATTGTTGTTTTCACCGAAAATCAATTAAACGCTGATAATTTGTACAAAATCTACGTTGATACAAAGATAAATCTCGCGTGGACACTGTACTTCTGTCTCGCGATCACCGATTCTCTGGCGCGATAATTAAACAATTGATTCAGTAATCATTGATCAGAACTTCTTGAATTTTGTAAAATGTAAAATATTAAAAGTTCGAATTAACAACGTGTACGATAAAATTGCATCAAAATTAATCTTATTAAACGTTTTATAACGAGGTGATAAATTTAATCGTCGCGCTGCATCTGTGATCGCGATTCTCAGGCATGGAATTATTTTAATGCTCGTTAAACGTTTGCGCAAATTTCTGCCGTACGGCATCCTCGTTTAATCGCATAAGAGCAACATGTACAATAATAAAACTCGATAATAAATATATTTCCTAGTACCAATTAGTATCCTTTTGTATTTTGCTTCGCCCGTTACTGCTAATAGATGTAGATATAGATTTCCTTGCCCTTGTAATTCATCCAGACTAGCCGAAACAGATTTTTTATTTCCATTAAATGAAGGTTAAATCCGTAGAGATTACGTACAACTCGTGAATTCGTTCGAATCAAACGAATGGAACTGATATCTCGCTTCGTTTTGTATTTTTTCCGTGTTTGTACTATCCCGTTTGTTTCTGTTCATTAGCTTGTCAGAGACGCATGATAAAAAACTCGATGAAAACACGTATCACGATATACTCCCGCTACATCAAATACTCAACCGAGGATTTTTCAAACGTTATCCTTCGTAAACTTTTTTAAATGGCAGATAAAGAAAAGAAATCGCTTAACAATTTTTAATTTTTAAAATTTAACAAAGAAATTCTTCGTAAATGGAGCGATCTATTATGATTTATATGTAATTTTTTTTTGTATCTCTGATCATCGATCATTGAATGATTGACATGATAAGAGGGTAAGTTTCCTTGCACATCTAGAAATCTCCGAAAGAGCCATTCCAGATCTTTGAAATAATCTAGAATCTAGAGAGTTTAGTTTTTTTCTTTTCTTTTTTTTTTTTCTACGAAACATTTCGATTAAGCATCTCATACGAAAATGGATGATAGTACATCGAACAACCTTGTGATAACCTAGGTAATCTGCTAGACGAGAGCGAAGTGCTCGATTGGATGGTGAAGCAGAAGACGGATGAGAGTATTGAAGAGATCGATCGTGACACCTTGAACAAATATATCGAGACGAAAGAATTCCTGGCTGTCGTTTTCTGTAAGAAATAGTCAATTTTCTTAAAAAAAAAAAAAAAAAAAAAAAGGAAAAAAAAATTGCACGAAAGTTTGTTTCATAATTTAATAAGTTCAATAACTCGTAAAACGAAGCTGTTTGTTTCGAGTTCAATTGGTAAGTAAAAATTATTATAAAACTAAATCGAATAATACCATTGATAAATCTAAATATCGTAAAAAGTTCTTAAAAATTTATATTCTTAATTACCACTTAATTATTTATCGCTTGAATTTTTCTCTGAAATTATAATTTCACGTAATTTTTGAATCAATGTTGAATCTATCTCTTGAGTGTTCTCTCTAAATAATCAAAAAATTTTCAAATCACATCCCTTGTTCAATCCTTCTCCGATAAGAATCAAACGTGAACACTCAAGGGATAAATATCGCATCTCGTTACGAAAAAAAAAAAAAAAAAAAAAAAAAAAAACGAAAAAAAAAGAAAATCTCGATCCCATAGACAAAGAGGAAGATCCAGAAAGTCCTAGAGTACTTAGGCACATCGAGTTGATCGACGACGAAGCTGCTGAGTACGGCATAAAGATCGTCAGGATGAAGGATCGATTAATGGCGAAGAAATACGGCTTCCGGAACCCACCCGGTATCACGTATTTCCGCAAAGGGAAGAATATTAATTATGACGGAGATATAGACGACGAAGAGGAAATCCTCGATTGGCTGACCAATCCTGAGAACATGGAGTTGACCGATCACATCGAACGGATCAATAAGAAGATGTTTCACAAAATACGGCAGACCACTGATTATTTGGCGGTGTTCTTTTGTGAGTATTCGAATTTAAAAAGGAATTTCAATATTCAGTATTGTCGTGGCAAAGATAGAATCGAAACATTTGCTTCGATTGATTAAATATAACATTTAAGGGAACTATAATTTAATCGAGACATTTTCAATAATAACGAAAAGCTCAAAAATATTTTACAAATTTCTATTTTATCTGTCCAACGTAATAATCGAATATAACAGTTAAAAAAAAAAAAAAGAAAAAAGAAAACGAGATTTTCGAGCATATCGAACGCGATGACGCGCATATGTTTAGACAGCAACGACTGCAAACAGTGTAGCAGGGTATTGACAGAGATCGAGCACATCGATGACGAGGCAGATAGCGCGGGAATAAAGTTCGTGAAAATCGACGATAAGCAACTCTCCAAACAATATGGCGTCTTTGCATTGCCCGCAATATTATTCTTCAAGATGTCCTCGAAGGAGCCAGTCATTTACGCAGGTATATGTTATAAGTTAGAGTCAGCTCAAATGGTATTGATCCAGGATTTATAATTAATTCGTAATAATAATTTTATAATAATTCGTATCCATTCAAAGGCGATTTGTACGATGAAGATCAGATATTGCAATGGTTATTAACGCAAAAAGATCCATCCGGAGAGGTAATCGAAGATTTGGAGGGAGAGGAACTCCTGCATTTGATAAGAGAATCGGAATCGTTAGCAGTGTACTTCTGTAAGTCTGACAGTCCTTCAACCTCGGCCAACTGCCAAGCAGGAATGTATCTCTAGCCTGTTGCACGGCACTATATTTCTAATATTTTCATATTTTCTTTTTCACATTTCACAATTCATTCCGCTCTTCTTCTATGAATCATAAAAATTCAATCGTAAATATTCCCATTTAAATATTGATATATAGTTCAAATCTCTTTTCATTGATAAAATTGAATCGATTCATGTTTCGATCATTTAAAAATCATGTAATGATCGATAATATTACTATTGTACATATGTATATATTGAAATATTTTGAGCGGATCACCTAATTATATTATATATCCTGTTTCCTTCCTCAACGCTACTCTGTTGATCGTTTTTCTCTGCCAAAGAGAATAACAGCTGATCATAGCCAGCAACTTGTCTGCATATATTAATTCCTGCTCTGGAAACAACATTGGCATTGAATTTTTAAAGCAACAAATTTCTTGTCCGACGAGAATAAAACGCGGCTCGAAACTAAACTATGTACATATGTTACGCGAACTTTTTTTACGTCTCGTAATTTGTTTGCAATTTTTGTGCTTAATGTGTCGCAACGATTAACCAAAAATTTTTGTCTTTTTTTTTTTTTCTTCTATTTTAAATTGTCCGTCGTCCTTGTTCCGTATATATTTTCTTCGTTTTAATCGTTGCTAAAACTTGGCCTGTCTTTTTTTCTTCTTCTTCTTTTTCTTTTCTTTCCTTCTTTTATTTGTCTTCTTGTCCGTCCATACGCTGTACACGTCGTCTGCTAATGCCGCAGGGAACAGAACGCTTTGTGACTTGTGTCAGGCAAAATATCAGCGGAAGCAGACCCGCCACAAGGAGCGCAGGATCGTCGAACACGATGCAGCCGAGGAACTCGATGGTACACGTGAACACAGAAAAAAAGAACAATTGAGTTGATGATCCAATTTTTTCTTTATCGTTCTACCGATTTAGAATGTGTTCCAGATAGTTCATCTCCGTGTGCACTACCCAGAACACGAGCACTACTCACATCAATATCATATAATATATATTTTTGTTTTTTAAGAAAACTTTTTAACTCGAAACCAAATATTTTTAATTTCATTTTTTAAAATAATATATGCGTACAGATATGCGTATTTATGAATATCTTTTTCAGAGGATTACTCTATTATTTTTTATTTTAGAAACAAAATTTTAATTCGTCAGTTTTGTCCTCCATTTTGAACGTGTATAAATATATATAAACTTTTTTAAATATGTATATATATATATATATATTTTTTTTTTTTTTCATATTTACATAACACGCTCACACTGCCAATCATAGGTGTACCTGCACGTTTAGAGAGCATGCACAGAACAAATCTTAGAGCCAGACTGCAGAAATGCCATCTCATAATTGTCCTCCAGCATGCCAATCAATTTTATTTATCCGTATTTGGATAAATAGTAGTAATATTTTTATATTAAGCTGCAAGTTCAATCTGTTCATTAAAAATCATTCGTAATTTTTCTATAGCGTTAGTCTTCCCTATAGTTAAGGCCGAAAAACCGCTTTCTTTAGATCATCGCTAGATCATCATCTAGATCATCATAGATCGCTGTCTTTCGAGTAGAGATCTATCTTTCACGCATTCGTGAATTTTATAACGATACAGTTTCTCTTTAGATGCCGAAGATTGCGAGCAATGCATGGGTATTCTCGAGGAATTGGAGAATATTGACGATGACTGCGACAGACATGGTATTACATTCATAAAGACACAAGTGAGTTGTAAATATATACGATAAATAATTTACACGGAGTTTATATTTTATTCGAGAGATACTATATAGATTTTAATAATGAAAAATTCTCTCAGGATTTTAAGGTGGCAGAAGATTACGGGGTCACGGATTTTCCTGTACTGGTTTATTTTGAGAACCAAATACCAAATGTGTTCGAAGGTTCATTGTCTTCTTCTTAATTTGATATTTATTTGATTGTTTATTTGTTTCTCACGAATTATTAATTCTATGCATATTTTCGTACAGGAGATTTAAAAGTGGAAGAAGAGGTTCTACAATGGTTAATTACTCAGAAAACAGAGGATCGAATAGAATTAATTACCAGAATGATGTTGGAAACGTCTGTTGAAGAGACTCAATATCTCGCCGTGTATTTTTGTAAGTTTTGATATCGTGATATGTTACGATTGTGTTTGAATATAATGTATAAGAAGGATCAAATCGCGTTGTTTCGTTGTAGATAAACTAAACTGCCACATATGCGACGAGATTTTGGAAGGATTAGAGAAAATCGATGACGAATGCGACGTGTTCGGTATTCATCTGGTAAAAATTCAGGATCCTCAGCTAGCTAAGCGATATTCCATTAAAACTTCCCTGCCTTGGTGTACTTCAGAAACGGCAATCCTCTTTTATTCGAAGGTTTCTAAATTTTCCAATTCTGATAGAATATCAATTTCGAATTATTCAATAATCGAATATACAAGATTAGTACGTATTTAAATTAATAAATATGAAAATATTTACAATCGGAATTTAATTATTTTTTTTATAATAGATTTCTCTTATGTAATAAATACCCATATTTGAAAATTGTTTAATTTTTAATTATTTCGCAGTATATTCACAAATTTTGTTCTTTGATTATTCGAAAGGATTTCAATTAATTTGAATAATCGATATTCTACTGTATTATTTCACAATTATTAATAGATTCATTATTTAATAATTTCCGATTACACTTATCAGGTGATTTACAAAATGAGGAATCAGTTCTCGAATGGTTGATCGATGACGATAATCGAGAACTGGCTGATGAAATTGAATCTGTGAACGAGAGGATGTTGGAAAGACTTCTCGAAGAATCTCCATTCTTAGCTGTATTTTTTTGTAAGCTTTAAAAAAATCTGTTTAATTTTAATCAATTTAATTTCTCATTTTCATTTTCTGAATTGACTATTTTTTTTTTTTTTTATTATATATATTAGACGATGAAGACTGTCCCGAATGCGACGAAATTATGGAAGCTTTGGAGAAAATCGATGGGGAAGCAGATTTATTTGGTATCGATTTCGTGAAAGTTCTCAGCACAGAAGCTGCAGAGAAATTTGGGATTCTTAACGTTCCATCACTTGTTTATTTCCGTAAAAAGACACCTCTGATTTACGACGGCGATCTAACTCAAGAGGACAAAATTCTTCAATGGCTGACCTCTCAAGATGTTTTCGAAATTAAAAATGAAATCGAAGAAGTTAATAAAAAAATGTTGGATAAGTTGTTGGACGAGAACGAATTTCTTGCTGTATTTTTCTGTGAGTATCTTCAAAAAATATTATTAAATTAACATTAAAATATTATTTAAATAAAGTAAATAATAATTGTTGATTCCAGATGAACACAACAATAAAGAGAGCGAAGAAGTGAATGAGAAATTGGAGAACATCGATGGAGAAACGGATAATTTGGATATCACGTTCGTAAAAATGGCAGACACAAGATACGCGAGGAAATGGGGTGTCACCAAGCTTCCAGCCATCGTCTATTTCCGCAAAAGATTCCCCAGTATCTATCGAGGTAAAATTCTCCTTATTATTTAGATTACTTTATCTAATTAAAAATTAGAACTTTTTTTTAAATAATTATTCTTCTAAATTATTTATTTATTTATTTTCTTAGGTGATTTGCACAAAGAACAAGACGTACTAGAGTGGTTACGCAAGAACAGATATCGCCAACCAGAACTGAACATCTATATGTATATGCTAATCGCGATCACCGTCCTATTCGCCATGTACACCGGTTTCTTATTGTCGTGTTTCCGGTCAGAACCAGCGACGCCTGCGTCGCACCCTAAGCAAGCGTGATAGAAAAAAAAGAACGAGAGAGAGAGAGAGAGAGAGAAAGAAAGAACGAAAGAATGTAGATTTATGGATTATTGCTGCGCGAATGTGCATTGTTGTTATTGTTGATCCGACTTACTTTATGTAAGATTAAATGGCAGCCGTTCGTCCGGAACGAACGACTCGTACCAAGGCTCGACGATTCTAGAGGATGACGATGAAACCTGTCTATGTATTTTTTTCTTTTGTTTAGAAGAAATTATTAAAAAAACAATATGTGCAATTATTTGCGTAATGGGTTCAAGTTATCCGTGAATTTCGTGAGCGCATGGTATGCTTGCTTAACGTGGACCAAATCCATCGATTTTCTATAGGAGATTTAGACCTCTGTCAAATTGAAGAAGACGCGAATGTGTTGCGAACGTACACGGAGCGATATTTTTGCGGGAATTTATTCAATATTATTCCAAATAAATTACTATTATTAGCGTATAAGCTGAGAAATATTTGTAATTATATATGTTTGCCATATTGTCTCTTGTTCATAATTTAAATCATCGTGCGACGATATTATATTTTTATTGTATTGCTTTGTAACGATAGAGATATATTGTATCGTATTCCATTCACTTTGTATTAACTTTTGCTGATTCAATGATTTTTGCTGCGTTTTTAGAGTGAATAAAACTGATCGACACATGTGTACATTGTTATTTGTTGCTGTTCATGGAATGTTACTAGCAATCAATCGACAAACAATTTGTGATTTACTTTTTTTTATTTTCTTCTTCTTTTCTTTTTTTTTTTTCTTAGGTGTTCTTTAGATAACTTTAATTGACATGGTTAGTATTGACAGTGGTCTTGTTCTTTGACTCGAGTAATTATCTTTGGTCCACGTATAATTAAATATTCATAAGATTATCGATAATTTGCGTATTGTCTCAGATCCTCTGATGATGAATCATCATTAACATTTGTTGAATAAAACGAGATGATGATATACGCAAAATGGGTGAATATAATCTATCGATATTCGTATTTTCAAAAAAAAAAAAACAAATAATGATAATATGATTATGAGGAATAAAGAGCAAAATCCTTGGACCAATTTCAAAGAGCTTAAAATGCCAATTTATCTGCCAATTGTAAATAATGTAATAGTATGAATGATGCATTATATAAAAAAAGAAGATGACTTTTCTTGTTATTTTACATTTTCCTTTCCTTTTAATGTATTTTTTTTTCACAAAAGATTATTTATTGAAATTTATTGAAATTCTCAAACTAAATTTCAAATTTCCCGCTACTATTTAAAATCTAACCAGAATTGTATCTAACTTCAAGTTTAATATTTCGAGCTCTGAAGTGCACTATGAATAAGAATTTCTTTACCTAGTGGAAGAATGGCGGTTCCGTAAGTGTTTCGCACGATTTTAATGAAATCTATAAACATCAATAATTAATATTATTTTAATATTTTCAAAATACGTTATTATTAATTCTTTTTTTATTTTATATTATATTTTTATTATAGTTTTTATGCTTTTTAAGAAAATTTTTACTTAATGCTAACAAATCATACCATTAACCAACATGAAATATAGTATAATTTATATTTTATCATAATACGCTAAAAATATTATATTTTTAATGAAAGATAAATTCTTATTTTATACTAAATCAAATTTCTATATATATTATTCAAAATAATTTTTTCCCCCAAAATAACATAACCTAATTTAGATTCTATACCATACAACTTATTTTTACATAAACGATATAATTAATAATTTTATATTTACATAGAAAGAAAGAAAGTGAGCCTGAAGCAAAAAAGCTACCGGCAGTGCCGGAATCAGTTCTTAAAAGAAGAAAGACTCGTGAAGCAGTACGAGCTGCACGTCTTCAAATATCGATTAAGGTATTTATTAAATATTTAATTAATATATTTTTTAAAAATGTTATTTTTAATTATTTAAAATTTTTGAAAATAATTAAAATGATTATAATAATTATTTTAATTGTAGCAACGTGCAAATCGTTATAAAAAAAGGAAAGCAATCTTCAAAAGAGCTGAAAAATATGTAAAAGAATATAGAACAAAAGAGAGAGATGAAATCAGATTAATGAGACAAGCTAAAAATCGTGGCAATTATTACATACCTGGAGAAGCACGTCTTGCATTTGTTATTCGTATTCGGGGGTAAACATAATCGATTTTTTATTAAAATTATGTTTCAAATTTATACATATATTATGTAATCATCTACTATTATTTCAGTGTAAATCAAGTTGCTCCTAAAGTACGTAAGGTACTTCAATTATTCCGTCTCAAGCAAATTAATAATGGTGTATTTGTGAAACTGAATAAGGCAACAATTAACATGCTTCGTATTGTTGAACCTTATATTACATGGGGATATCCAAATTTAAAATCAGTTAGAGAATTGATCTATAAGAGAGGATTTGCTAAAATAAATAGACAACGTATTCCTATTACAAGTAACTCCATCATTGAAAAGAACTTGGTTAGTATTATAGTTTATTGCATTTGACAAGTCCATGGGAGTTGCATTGTATTTATCTATTCCCTTCCATCTTGTCAAAAAATAATAGAATCTTTGAAAAACTTTTTCGTATATTTTACGTTCAAGTTTGCGACGGTTCTTACATTTTTAAATTATTATATTTAAATATATCATATTATTATAATATTACTATGTTATTAATATAATATTATTATATTTAAATATAAAATAATTTTCTTTTCATTAATATTTATTATTTTTTATCGCTATTTATTGTGATAATAATGTGAAATATAAATTATTATAGGACGCTCTGGTATTATTTGCATAGAAGACTTAATCCATGAAATATTCACAGTTGGACCAAAATTCAAATTTGCAAGTAATTTCTTATGGCCATTCAAGGTATATAAATTTTTAGTTCTTCGAACATCGACGTAGGCATGATTATAGGAATATTCATTATTCTATAAATCTCCTATTACGTCGTAAAGTAATACGAGTTTCTCTTTATTGTACGCATGTAATTTTGCGTTCATTAGTCAAACTCAAACATTTAATTAATTATTTAAATACCAACATAGTATTTATATTTTATATTAACAATTTTAATCTTTTTTATTTTCAGCTTAACACACCCAATGGAGGTTGGCGTAAGAAGACTAACCACTATGTCGAAGGTGGTGATTTCGGTAATCGTGAAGACAAAATCAATGAACTTCTCAGGAGAATGGTTTAAATTTATAAAAATCATGATAATAAAAATTTGAATAAAATCTGCCATATTTGTGTTATATTTTATCTATATATTCACTATACTTATTTAATAATAATAATAATACAAATTTACATATAATATATATATCAATTTATAATTGGTAAATTCTAATTCTGTTTTCAAAGCTATTTCAAATATTGATAATTTTACAATTATATAAAAATTTATTATATTAACATAATATTAATAAAAATAAATACATACAAATTACATAAAAAATGACATGTATAATGTCTATTATCTATTAATACAATCAACAATCACTATAATACTTCGATAATGTGATTAATTATAAAAATTTTTTTTTAATATCGGAATGTAACATAACGCATGCGCTAGTTACTATATACATATATCGAATAATCTATGCAGCACGATTCGTGCCGTGCCCCATGCCATGTTACAATGTGAGAATGGTGTGTAAAGGTGAAGTGTACTGGTTCGAATCATGTTTCACAGATTTTAGATTAAATATTATATTTTTCAATTGAATATTATTTTTAATGTAGAAAAAATTCTTTAGTAAATTCTGGTAAGTATTTATAAAAAAAATAAAAAATCATTAAATATTAAAATTATGCAATAAAATATTATACATATACATTATTTAACCTTATTTTGTCATTAATACGAAAGTATAATTAGTATTAACTTTATATACGGATAATTAATTTTAATAATATTTTAATAACATTATTCCACGTGGTTGTCTTTAAGAAATGACAGTTTTTATAGAATTTTAGAATAGAGATAATTCATTTCATCATCAAATGTTCTATGTTCAAATCCAACTCGTATAAATTTTTTTTTAATAAATTACAGGAGTTTTTTTTTGGAATTTATTAAATATTAAAATGTTCTAAAAAAATAATAAAATATATATGAAATTTTAAATTAAGTATAAAATTATAAAGTAATTAAAAAAATTGATTAAATATCCTTTTTAATATATTATAATATATATTTTACATAAATTAATCTTTATTTAGATTGTATTAATAATGAGTAAAAAGACTGTGAATACTGACACTTCATCTGACAATATGAATTCATCTATTAATAAATCTAATCAATCATCTAATAATACAAAAATGTTTATTCTTCCTCCAAATGTATTTCAAAATATTTGTCTTAGTAACTCAATAGAAAAAGGTAAATTAATGAATTATTATCATTATTTAGATTTATAATTTAATTTAATTTATAACTTAAATTTAATATATATTAATTATATATATAATTTAATTTTTTATTATAGGTGAAAGTATAATGTCTGCTTTAGAATTTATAAAAAAAGATAATAATATAAATGCTATCAAAATTCAAGAACATAAAAATCTTGAGATTTCTACATCTATTGGAATTTAAATTCAAATATTGTAATAAAACCAACTACAGTTATAAAAATTAATAAAAATAATTCAGCAGATAATGCAGATAATGAAAGCTTAAAAAATACCACAGAAGTGCCTACAATTAAGATAAATGAAGAAAAGTCTGCTTCTAAAGCAAATCGTACAAAACAGATGCAAAATCTTCATAATAATATAAAAAAAGAAAAAGATAGCACAAAAGTAAGTAACTCAATGAATGTTTCAGAAAATCAAAATATATTAGAGAAAGTAAAATCTACTGCTGAAAATTCAAAAAATAATCAAATTACCTCAAAGGATGTACCAAAGTCTCAAAGAACAAATACAAGATTTGAACAAAATACTAATGAAAAATATTTAAATATAAATTTAGAAGAAAATAAGAAAGCAGAAAATATAAATGAAATGGATGAAAATTTACTTGGTAAATCTGAATGTATTCATCAAAACAAAAAAACTAAATTTGACGGTTACATTATAGAATATAAAAATGAATGCACAAAAAAAACTACAACTTCAGATAAAAAAAGAAAAAATATTCCTAATAAGGATTTAAAACAAGCAATAATTTCTGATACTTCTTTATCAAATAGAATTGAAACAAATGAGAAACAAGTTTTTAATAAAAAATATGTGAAACAAGAAATTGAAGATAAAAATAATGAAAAAATTACAACTACATTTGATTCATATGTTTCTTCTATTTCTATCACACCAGCTATAACAAAAAATTCACTGCCTTTGAATTCCAGCAACAATTCTGGAAATCATTCTAATATTACAAGTAATGTAAAGCATTTGCAAAATAAAAATATAATAAATAAAAAAAATTTGAAAGAAAAAAATTTCAGAAATGTAAAGCTAAATGATAATAATTGTGGTAATAAAGTACAAATAAAATCAATAAATACCTCTGTAACTGAATGTATTCCTGTAATAAACGAAAGCTTAAAATCATGTGTAAAATCAGAAAATGTTAAAAATACAAGTATTGATGAAAATAAAATAAATTTGTCACTCATAACACCAGATATTTCATTAAACAAAACAAATTTTAATACAAAATCAATAAGTCAAAGTGATAACAGTCAAAATTTAATAAATACACCTCCAATAAGAAAAAGAGGAAGACCTAAAAAAATTATATTTACATCTGAAAAAACTATGGACATTTCAAATAAATTAGAAGAAAATTTAAAAGATTCACAAAAACTTAATGATGTTTCTATTGCAGAAACAGTAATTCATAATAGGAGACATAATGAACATTTATATAATATTAATAATAATGATGGCTTAAATAATAATAATAGTACTAAAGATAACATTCCAATTTCAATTATTGTTGGAAAAAGAAATAAAATAATAGGTACATCTTCAGATAAAGCAAAAGAAGAAGAAGAAGAAGAAGAAGAAAAAATTGCAAATAATAAAAGAGGAAGAGGAGAGGAAGAGGAAGAGAGAGAAAAAACTAGAAAGAGAAGAAACAAAAGGAGAAGAAGAAGAAAAAGGAAAAGGAGAAGAAGAAAAAGGAAAAGGAGAAAGAGATAGAGGAAGTAGCAGAGGAAGAGGTAGAGGTAGAAGTAGAGGTAGAGGTAGAGGTAGAGGTAGAGGTAGAGGTAGAGGCAAAGGCAGAGCATCATCTCATTCTACGTTGGACACTGAATATATACAAACATTAAAGGGACCAGAAACTATTATGGAAGAAATAAAAAAAGAAAATTCAGATGAAATTAATACTATCGTCCATACATCAGAAGTAATTTTTATATAAAATATTAAAATATATTTATATTTGTTTTATTTTTTATTGTATTTATTCCTAATTATATAAATATATATTTGTTAATTTAGGTAGATTTAGTAAGTTGTGCCAAATGTGAAATAGATATGTTAAAAAATAAATGGGATTCACATAATTTACTTCATCATAACAATATGAGTTGGATAAAGGGTGATAAACCTATGGTAAATATGAAACAAAAAGCTTTAGTAAATTTATTATTCTAATATTCTATTAGAAAATTCTATATTTCAGGATTATGAAAATGATATTAAATTATGGAGAAAGATTTTAACATCTGCAATTAAAAAAAAAAAGGGTCATTTGTGTTGTGAAAAATGTGAAGTTGTGAAACGTAGTGTGAATGGTTTTATATCTCATATGCAATTTTGTGGAAAATCAGAAGAAGTATGCAATTTTTTTTATTAAAATTAAAATTTCAAATATCTTAAAATTAAAATAGATCATTTGTGATTGATACATATCGTATTTTAAAAATAATTTTCCTATCAAAATTTATATTAAAACAAAAATTGAAAAAAAATTAAAAAATATATTTATTTATTCTTTAATGATCCAAAATCAATTTTACTAAAGAAATAATTAACAGATCCTAAAAATATATATATAATTATTATAATTGTATAATTTTGTATAGGAAAAGAAAGCTTTAATGGTAACTTGTCCAATTTGTGGTGCTGTTATGATGCCATCTTCTATGGAAATACATGAAAGAACTCACAGATTATCAGAAAAAAATAAAGTAACAGAAGTACAGTTATGTACTAATGATAATGAAAAAGTAAAACGTAAAGCTGCTGAAAAGTAAGCTAAAAATTTGAATTGAAGATTTTTAATAATTTAATATAAATAAAGATACTAATATAATATTCTAATTACAGAGCAGTTTCAAAAATTTTAGAATTTTCTGAATTTTTCAAGGATAACAGTCCACCTCCTGAAAAAAAAATGAAACTTCTGGTATGTAACTATTTTATAATATATCTTTATAAAAAAATCTTATATATTATATAATTATATAAAATAATTATATAAATTATATAATTATATAAATATATAGAATAATTATATAAAATTAATATTACAGAAAAGTTTAATCAAAATACCCAAACATAAAATGCCTATTCCATCAGTGTGGAAATGCATATGGAAAAAAGAATTATTCTCAGTGGGAATAACAAATTGTCGTCATGTAGGTTGTACTTATACGTGTACTTCTATTGAAGATATATGTAATCATTTTAAAAATTGTAACTTCATTCCTGAAAAGGTATAATAATTATAATAACACTAATTGTTATTTCTATTACAATAAAAACAGTTAAATATGCTTGATTTTATTACAGTCTTATATATGTAAAATATGTAAATTTTCAAGTATATCTTATGAAGATGCAACAAAACATGTAACAACAAAACATATTGCAACAGAAGGAATTGACAGATATTCCGATTTTGAAGAAGAAGATTATAATTCAGATGAATGTAAAAATAATTTTATTATAATATAAAATTAAAATTATTAAGTTTTTAAGTTACTAAGTTTCATGATTTTTTTTTTAACAGTATTTTTCACGATGAAGTTTCTGGGCAAAGAACAATATCAAAAAATTCGATGGACAGGAACATATTTGCCTGCTATACGATGGACTATGGAATTGTAAATGACTATGTTTTAGAACTAATATATTCTTATATATAATATATTTTTATATAAAATTTATATATTTATTAAATAATAATGTTATTTTTCTTTTTTTAACAGTGAACAAAAGAATTATGAATTTTGTTTATTTAATGATTATTTTCCAAATCAATTCACGTTATTAAACAATATCGATATTCTTAAATATTTACCAGAATTAGAAGTTTCCATGAGAACAAAGAGAAAAAACATATCTGAAAAATTGTGTGATACAGAAATTCCATGGAAGCAATGGAAACGATTTGAGGGTGGTTTAGATGAAGGTATTACTTACTATACTTACTATACTTACTCACTATATATTATTTTATAGTTATCTGTATGTTACATGAATATCTTTTCAGGTACTTCAATTTTTTTTACTGGTGGTCCAGTATGGGCATTAGCTTGGTTACCTATTCCATCACCAATGTATTCTAAAAAACCTCATCAATATATCGCAATTAGTACTCATCCAACAATGACAAGTGAATATACTGTTGGAAAATCATACACTGGACATAATATGATACAAATTTGGAGTGTTGGACATTTAGATCATGAGTTAGTAATAAAAAAAAAAATAATTTAATGAATTGGAAAATATATAGTTCCTTTTTTTCAAAATATATTCTTTTTTATATAGAATTGATAGTAAACAAGAATCTCCTGCTTTATCATATGTAATTGTACATAACAACGGTACTATATGGTGTTTAGAATGGTGTCCTTCTGGATGTTATCAAGATGAAAGTTTAGATAATTATAAAAAAGAAAATTCTTGTAATCTTAAACGAATGGGTCTACTTGCAGCAGCTTGTTCAGATGGAAATGTACATATTTATTCATTACCCTTTCCAGAGGAGCTTAAATTTAAAAAATCTATAGACAATGAGTAAGTAGCAAATTTGTTCAAATTATATAATTTTCTATTTTATCTTATCTTATTAATATTATTATAGATGGCCTATATATTCTACTGATCCAATAATAACATTAGTTGTAAACATTGCAATATATGATAATAATGGTCAAACTTGGCAATGTACTAAGTTGTCATGGACAAAAGAACATGGTCATAAGTAAGATTTTTTCATAATATATTTATCTATTATTTTAACTTTTTAATAACAAAATTATATCATTTTTCTGATTTTTTTAGTACTATTGCTGCAGGATTTTCAAATGGTTACATAGCTTTATGGGATTTAACATACAAATCACCATTATCAATACAAAAAAGACAAAATACATATTTCATAAATGCATTTCAGCATTTTTATGCTCACAGTAATGCTGTGAGTAGTAAGTACATTTGTTCTTGTTTTTTTTCTCTTTTTATAAAAATTTTATAAAAATTTAAAAAACTATAATGCTATAAATAAAATATCATTTTAATAGTGGTAGCATTAATTCCATATAATGGAGGAAGATTTTTGGCTTCTGCTAGTTTAGATAGATCATATAAATTTTGGAATTTAGAAGATATAAATACTCCACAAACTAGTATGCAAAAAACTATTATAGTGAATGGTGCATGGATGACACATTGGCCATGTGCTGTTATTAGTTTTGATGATGCGCTAGGGTAATTATTAAAAAATTAAAAATATTAAATTCATAATAGAATATATTTGTTATTATTATTTTTATGTTATTGCAGGAATCAGCATACAAATTCTCACTTAATTCCATTAAGAGAATATAAATTTAAATATTATCCTACATTAGGATCAAATTCTTCTACATATGTAAGTAATTTTAGAAATCGTTTTTCTAATTAAAATATTCTAATAATATGATTCAAATTTTTACTTAAAAATTTTATAGGCTTTAGCCGTTTCTGATTATGCAAATAGTATTGCACATGGTACATTAGCAGGAGAAGTTCAAACATTATTTGCACATGAACTTGTATATGAAACGACTCTCGAAAAAGCTTTATTGAAAAAAAGCAAGGTATTTTTTTTTTATATTTTATTAGTTTATATTAATATTTTATATTTTAAATGCTTTCATAAAGTTAAATATGAATGATTCTCCTAGTTGAGTTCATTTATTAAAATAGTGGACTTCTCAGAAAAAGAAGATAGTATGGATGATGAAAAACACAATAAAAATCCAAAAGATCATCGTTACATGCCAGAAACTTATAATGAATGTCAAGATCGATTCGGTATTATTTTTGTGATAATTTAAAAGTAAGTATTTTTAATTATTTTTTACTATGCTATATATAAATATATATATATATATATATATATATATATATATATATATATATA